GATGGTGGGAGGGGGAGGGAGGTGGGAGCCGTTACCGGCATGCTGCTGCACTTGTGCCAGGTTCCCCTCCATCGCCTCCCCATTCATCCCCCCTGTGTTCCCCGGGAGAGGGAGGGAGGCAGAGGCGGTTAGAGACGGAGCTGCAGCGTCTAAACTCCGAGTGAAGAAGAAACAACGTGTCTCAGCTCGTTAGACGGATCCTTCACATCCATCGACTCTCCTCCAGACACACCGTCTGACTCACAGAGAGGACGAGGACGAGGACGAGGAGGAGGAGGAGAGACACCTCCCCTCTTTTTGCCGGTGCCTGGTGGACAGTTATTGGTGACTGCCGGTCACATGATCACACTCTCCAGCAGGTGATTGGCCGAGCAGGAGGAGGGATGCTGCAGAGAGGAGATGAAGGTGGAGAGATGGATCTGGAAGGAGAGAGAGGTAGACTGGGATCTGTGGTCCCACCCACCGCACACACACACACACACACACAGCTTCGATGGATACTGGTTTTATTGGCCCGTATCAGACAGATATTGGTGGATATCAATGTGTTTTGTGGCGGCAGTTTGCTTTGAATGAATGAATGACTCAATAATGATGGATGGATAAAATAAATCGGCAGATAAACGACCGAACAAATGAATTAACAACAAATAAGTGAATTTAATGAATGAAGTTATGAATGAGTGACTGAATAAAAAAAACTGAATGGATGAACAAAGAAATTAATAAACAATAAATGAATGAGTGACTGACAGAATGAATGAATAAATATATGAATAAAACATGTATTAGAGATTTATAAGGATTTTTTCTGTTGAAAAACTCATATAAACAGTAAAGACGTCTGAAAAGGAGAAATCCTCATTGTGAAATATAATTGTGCAGCTATTTCATATTTCTTAATCAAAGTGTGCAAAGTAATAATTACTTAAATATAACAATTTTCATGCAAAAAAATTAAATATGAATTAAAAACAAATTCACTTTTGGTTTTTCCTCAATTTTTCTTTCTTGTCAGGGAGGAAAAGTCTAATTTTAACCATTATGGAACAAATCTAAAACCTAGTAACGAATAAATAACCTGAGAATTTAAATATTGTGAGGTGTAAAAGTGTAATTCATTAGAGCTTAGCATCATCTTTAAAAGTTATATATACTATCTACTTTATTAGGCCTCTAAATATCTTAATAGTAAAATAAATATTAAAGGTTCTGACACACGGTGCCGATTTTAGCCAACAATAAATTATGTTAACGGTACAAAGCTAACGATAGCTTTCTGCTAGTTAAGAGTAATACAAGGCAGCTAGCTAACTGTTGCTAAGCTAAGCTCGGGTTTTCCGCCAATGGTACAAAATAAAATAAAGCAACTTGGCAGTAACATTATTTATATAACAGGACGCTGAGTGCAGTTCACCTAATGTCCACTGGTGTCACTATAACAACAATTTACTGACAGTTATATAAAGTTCAGTTTTTTTTCTAAAGATTAGCTTCTAAAAGCAGACTTAGATCTCTTTACATGGAGTTTACTGTTTACAATAGTGACCAGTTCTGGTTTAAATACAGATTCAGTGTCACATCCATCCTGTCAGACCGGAGCATGAATGAATGGCCGGTATCGACCCTGATATCAGTCGAGGCCTGATATAGACCTCCTCCTCCTCCTCCTCCTCCTCCTCCTCTCTGTCATTATATAACGGGCAGGTTGTTGGATAATAGAGGATGCTACACGCTCATACACACTCCCACAGCTCCATTTTTATTCACCGCTTCTATTTTCTGCTTTCGTGCTGTGAGATGACGTCGGTTTGAACCAAAGTCATTTTGTACATATTTGTTTGATCTTCCTCAGTTTAAAATAAACATTATTTGTCATTTACATGAACATGCCTACACATTCTGTTATGTAACTGTACATTATACTCAGGCTCAATTATAAAACACTACTTGACTATTTCCATTTTAATAAGTAAAATAGTTATTTTCACTTCACTACATTAATCTGACAGATTATTAATTACTTTACAAAATACAACATATTGTTAAAGATTCAACCTGTCTCTTCTTTTATAAAAGCAGTGTCCTAAACCTGCATTGTTTCTAATAGCCAGCAGGGGGCAGCTCCATTGGCTGCAACAATAAGTCTGATAGTATTGAGTTTTACGGAGAAATGAGTCAACTTCTCAGTGATTATGAGCTCAGTAAACAGTTTCTGATGAGTTTCGGTCTCATCTCTAGTTTCAGTCTTCTTCCATACAATGATTTATTTAGTAACTAATGTCCATTTAGGTCAAACAGACATAAAGCAGGGTATCTGTTAGGCAGGGGCTACTTGTGATGACAGCTCATTCTCAGTGAGTGTCCAGTCAAGCACAAACTCAGATCAAACTGTCAACAGTGCTGATCAGTATTGGAGTCCAGATTCTGTTGTTGACTTATTTCTCTGCCTCAAATCTGTCACAACACATTTTACTGTTTATCTTGGAACACAGATCGCCTGTGTGAGCAGGAGAGACGCTACTGTTTCCAAACAAAGAGCAGCCAATGAGAGTCGCTCAACTTGCACTACGTGACCTCCGCTGGCTCCAACAAACTGTCATGGCTTTAACTGAAACGCTGAGTTGGAGTCTTCAAAACATTTTGCTAACCCTCTACTCAGTATGTTTATACTGTGGTGCAGTGGTTCAGACACACTGACACGCATAAAGTTAGCCTCTCTGAGTCGCTAGCTTAGCTACAACACAGGTAGGACACAAACATTTACGAACAGCGTGAATGTGCTTCTAGTGACTGTATTGATGTCGCTGTATATATTTAAAATCAACTCACACCTTGTTGGATATAAGAATTACAAGTTAATAATATAACAAGAAAAGGTAAGTATGTGTAGTTGTAACACAGTTTTAGAGAGAAAGTGCTTTTTCACTTCCAGGAATAAATCCATCCCTGACAGAACATAAATATTGTAAAGCTCAGCGAGGCTTTGGGGCGGCTGTTAAACTCACTGAACTCTTCGTGTTGTTGTTCAGCCTGACTTTAAGTGTCTGCAACACCGTGTAGAGACTGAAGGAGCATGATGAGTATTAATGAAACAACTGAGGAAGAAACAAGGCTGAAGAGGAAATAACAGATATTGTGTATTCAGCTGCATGTGACTGCTGCATATTCAGATCTAACAGCAACTGCAATGCAAAAATGCAGGATGAAAATATGTTTGTAAGGTCATAATGACATTGTACATGTGTTTACAGCCTGTTTGAAAAATACATTCAATTCTATAAAAGGGACTCAGTGACTGGAAAAACGTGGGTTAATAATTAATAATTTTATGATATTTTGCCTCCACACATGTACACATATACAAACAGTGCTTGGAACAATACTGTGTGTCTGATAAAATTTCTACATTAAAAATCTTTAAAACTCATCTTCTCATTAAAAAGTACAGAATCTATAAATATTCACATTTTTTCCTGCTGGACACAAGATGTCTCCTCGTTCACTGTAGATTCAGTGAACTCCTCATCATTCAAACATCACACTGTAGAAGAAACAGTTTAATCTGTAAAATAACTAAAGCTGTCAGACAAATACAGTGGAATAAAAAATACAATATTATGGGAGGTAGTGGAGGATGAAGTTAGAGTTTGTGTCCACTAGATGGCGACATTGTCCTGAGCTCCAGCTTGTATTGTTTTATATTTGAGTGTCAGTATGGACCAAGTTTCTGCAGCAGTGTTGTTGTTGGAAGTGTTCAATCAATCAATCAATTCAACTTTATTTGATTAGCACCTTTCATACAGTTGAGGGAAGTTCAAAGTGATTCACAAACAATTCACAAGACAATATTAAGACAGAATGGAATAAAATAAAGTAGATTTAGAAATAAAATACAAAGACAAAATGACAATAAAATCAATAAAAACAATCCATTAAGAACCACAAAGACAAAATTAAAAACTCAAAACACGTACTTGTACTGAGAAATGTGTCTGCTCACAACCATTTACCAACGAGAAGCTGAACACACCTGAGCGTCATTACCTGTGCAGATCTGAGTTCCAGATATGTGCCAAATATTCTGTGTTTTCTGTGTCAGAATTTGTGTCGTTGGATCCGGACCACAGTGTCACCATCCGACCCATGGTTTCCTGGGCGGTTTAGTACGAGAGATGAATTATTATCTACTATGTTCAAAGAAAATAAAAGCAGAGCTTCACAAGAATTTGTTGTGTTTTTTTTCTCTTATTTGGGAAAATGTTTGATTTGGTTTCTTTGTGTGCAATTTCACTGCATACACGAAAGAAGAAAACCACCAAAGAAGAAACCGTCAAGGTCTTGGTTATGACTTACTACCTCATTGTTACCAGAATAGATCTGATTATTATAAACACTTTATGGTAGGTAAACATTAAGTATCATGAACTCATTCATAAATGATCGCACAAGAACTAGTGCCTGACTCAATGCAAGAACAACATGACAATTAATACAACAATTAAAGTATTGTACATAGTGTTTTTAATGAAGTTCTCTTCTCATTCAGTCTGTATTTAAAGGGACAGGCCAGAAACCAGCACTATTATCTACCAGCCTAGATACTACTACTACTAAGACACATGACGGACATCGGTACTGCAGATACAGGGCAGAGGTCGGTGCTGCAGATATACTTATTTATTATATATTACTTATTTTGCTCTCTAACTACTTTACTGATATAGGTTACTCCCATTTGTGCCTTAAAAACATTACACCAATCTTTATGAACATCGGTGCCTAGCATATTTAGATAAAGCCAAACAAGATTCTTAGGTCTATGTTTGAATGTCACTTATTGTTTGTCTGGTCCCCAAACTTTTGAAGGCATGGTTCGCTCCACTTAATGGGACATAACTCTTCAGCGCTGAACTGGATTGCAACCATAAAGCCACATTGCACGTGTGTGTAATACTTATATAGACATATAGTTCTACCAACAATAGCGTCACCTTGTGGCCATTAATGAAACCTTTCTCTCGAATACAGAGCAGATGATGCAGCAATTACATGTAAGTATTAGAGTTATAGACGTTTTATCTCATAATTTCGATTTTTTATTTATTTTATCATTTCAATTTGTTTTATCTCACAATTATGATTTTATCTTTAATCTCGTTTTATTTTCTTTATTTCTTTTCTGGCAGAAATTGGCTTCCATTGGTCTTTAAAACCAAAACATGAAGCAATAAAATAAAACCATTAAAATATCCTTTGAGATAAGAATGAGAGAAAAAACTTTAACTACTTTAAAATGTCGTCATATTCGTTGAACCTTATTTTGAAAAAGAGCTGACCGGAAGTCCTGTGGCTGTTAATTAAATACCCCCCAGGTAGTCTCCCCCCCCCGCTGCCCCTCCATCCATTCATCCCTCCCTCCTGCCTCTCCAGCTCCTTCACTCCGCCGCTGTGCGCCTCCGTATCGGCTCCTCTGTCGCCCGCTGCCCTCACCTCCTCCCCGGGCTTCCTCCGCTGGGTGTCCCCGCTGGTCCGACCGCGTCTGTGGAGCAGAGACAAGATGAGTCCCGGGTCCCGGAGCTGGTGGTGGTTCTGGTTCTGCTTGTTGAGCCTAAGTGTCCTGAGCCGGACTCTGGAGCTCCAGGAGCTGTTTGAGTTCGGAGAAGAAGCCGGAGACCAGCAGCTGCAGCCCGGGTCGGACTCCACCGCCGAGCTGCCCCTCAACGGATCCACGTTCTTCTTCAGCCAGACCTTCGACAAAGTTTATGTGAGTTTAACATCCGGATGGTTTTTATTGTTTTCACTGTGAAAAAGGACAAATTTAATGAGGAAGTTAATTCATTAAAGTTGAATCAGAAATCGGCGTAAGAAAGAAAAAAAAAAGAGTAAAAATCCAACTTGATTAAATAAACTAAAAATAAATCAGCATCTGAGAAATAAAACAAATCTTAAAGTCTTAAAATGACTGAAACTCAAATGAGGTTCGTCATTAGTTTTTCACTTATTTAGGTAAAAACATTTTTTAAAATGTATTTTTCTGCTTCCTTAGACTTAGACTTCTCTTTATTGATCCTTTATTGACTCCCGCAAGGAAATTGAATTTCCAGCTTACAAAAAAACAGTGTAGAAAAATAAAGAGGTATAAAAAAATACAGTACAAGATAAAACAGTATAAACAATAAACTCTTAGATATATA